GTGTGGGGGTGGGTGGGGGGGGGGGTGTGGGTGTGGGTGTGGGTGTGGGTGTGGGTGTGGGTGTGGGTGTGGGTGTGGGTGTGGGTGTGGGTGTGGGTGTGGGTGTGAGTGGGTGTGTGGGTGTGGGTGTGGGTATGAGTGAAGAAGCAACATACACCCACACCCACACCCACACCCACACCCACACACCCACACCTACACCTACACCCACACACCCATACCCACACCCACACACCCACACCCACACCCACACCAACACCCACACACCCACACACCCACAACCACACCCACACCCACACACCCACACCCACACCCACACCCTCAACTTTCTCTTATAATTAGACATATGAAATCATCTCGATATGAATATCGAATATTATAGTTCATAATTGAATCTATCCATAACTTTCAAAAGAAAGTACTTTATGAAAATGATTTCTATAGTCAAAAGATTCTTCACCGACATGTTGATACTCAGCATGTGAATCTATAGAAAACAACATGTTATTTATTTAGGAGAAAATTATCAAATCTTTTACATTGAAAACCAAAAAAAATCACCTGTTCACAAAAGAAAGAATTTCCTTTTTCTTTGCTTTGAGCTAGAATCTTTGCATGTACATCCAAATGAAGTGAAAGATCAAAGAACAAAAAAAAACAAAAAACAAAAAAGCTATCGATACGATTTTATCTAATAACACGAACATAGTTTGATAAACTATATGCTTACAGTTGTTCCTAAAGAGTAAAGTTCGTCTAATTGACGTCTGAAATCATCGAAAGAAGATAAGTGACTTAAATTGTTTATCCAATGTAATAAATCAGAATAAATTTGATTTTTCTGTTCCAAATTTTTCCACAATATTAACGATCTCGATACTTTTTCAAGAGAATGTGGTAATTGTTCAATGGCATTCACCTCAACTTGAATATTTTCATTAATCATATATATTATACAGTGAGGGGTCAAAAAAGCATGTACATTTTTGTTTTTACGCATAAACGAATAATAAGGATACTCTGAAATTTTCTCTGCCACCGAACCTTGTAGAACTTTTTTCGCTGATCATTTTGATGAAAAAAATTTTTGATTTTCATAGAGTAATGACGATGTTATAGTCAAAATACTAAACACTGTAACATAAAGTAGGGAAAAAAGTTTAGCACACTTTTAGTATTTGGCTAATTTTTACGTTATTTCACAACATCTGAAAGATGCTCTATATACCATTCGACGTAGAATTTAATGGGCTACATTTTGGTAACAAGCATTTATACTCATATTGCAGTTAATTAATTAATTAATGGTTAATTAATAATTAATAATAATTAGCAATTAATTAATAAAATTTTGATTTATTTTTAAATTCCAACTCTTTCATATGAAAGAGCATAAAAAACTGAACAAAACTCTACATATGAGAGAAAATTTTCAGAGTATCCTTATTATTCGTTTATGCGTAAAAACAAAAATGTACAGGCTTTTTTGACCCCTCACTGTAACATTTAATGCACATTTTAAATCAAATGTTCGTTCATAATCATAACATGCTGAATCTTGTTCATTCAAAATTGATTCAGAATAAACAGTTAATAATTTATAACTAGCATACCCAGGTCTATGGATACGGCTATTTGTATTTTCACCGTAATTTGCTTCATACGCACCGTAAACGGACCGTATTTTCTCGTAATCATGGGCACAGTAATACGGCACCGTATACGAGGCCGTATTTTCACAGTATACAGCCGTATACGGGGCGTAATCTAATTATGATAGGGCCGTGTTTCTCTGCCAGATATTACGGCCGTATACGGTCCGTTTATGCGTCGTAAGGTAACCGTAAACGGTCGTTTACGGACCCTATCATTTGACCTGGGTATGTAACTGCTCCCGCAATTGGTAATTTTTTTTCGTTTCAGACATTTCATATTTAAATGCAAAACCAAAGTCAATTAATTTTAAATGTTTTTCAGCATAATCCAACATCAAATTTTGTGGACGTATATCACGATGAATAATATGAGAATCATATAAAAATTTAATTATATCAATAAGTTGTTTCAATTGACTTAATGTTAATGATTTGATATCTTTTAATTCATTATTAAATATTAAAAATCGATCTGTATATAAAGATAAACAAGTTATGCGGAGAATTATGTATTATTTCAATGATTGTCAAATAAAGATTGTCACTATGAAATTCATTTCATTTTAAATTTATAGTAGATTAGACATATATATACAGGGTGTTCCAAAAGTCCCGTCGAAAACTTAATTCAAATATATCTCATACAACTCAAGTGATTTAATTGATTTTTTATACTATGTTAGTGTGTTCTTTAAAGTTTTATTTCGTATATTTTCAGATAAATATCTGTGCCTATAAGCATTAGAATTAAAATAGTTTTATTAATGGCCAAATTTGAGTTACCTATCGTTATGAAAGGAAAAATACAAGTCGAATTTGGCATAGAAACGCCAGACATAGACTGTACTATTGATGCTTTTCAAGGCTTTGCAAAATGAGCATAGTAGTAAATAGATAACGATCTGAAAGACCTTCAAAAATTACAGAAGAGAAAATACGCGAAGTTTATGAGAATTGTGAAAATATGCCACTATCGAGTGTTCGGGTTGTTGCAATAGCCTGCTTCATTCTATGAACAATAGCAGGTCGAATTATCACTGAATATCAACTAATGAACCCATACGGGATGTGATTTGTCGTACAACTTCATGAAGAATATTCGCAAGATCGAGTTGAAGTTATATCACTTTGATCCACACGTTAGAAAATAACCACAATCAGGAGAGCTCTGTTTTTTCAGACAAAGACTCTTTTCATTTAAATTGCTTATCGATAAATATAAAGTGAACACCTATGTGTATAAGATATATATAAAGATTTGGTTGTATTCAAAATAAGGGCCGATACAGAAAAGAAATTAATTCGAAAATAAATTTCCTACAATATTTTTTTAAAGATTTCAAAAACGATAGATTTATGTATTTCTGTTGCGCGTAACCGTTTTGAACATTTGTTATAAACTGAATTATGTGAAATAAAACTTTAAAGGACATACTAGCATATTATAAAATCAATTAAATCGCTTGAGTTGTATAAGAGTTATTTAAATTAACTTTCCGTCCGGACTTTTGGAACACCCTGTATAATCTCGATTGTGTTTTTAAATAAGTAATTCAATAAAATCTTCTATTTAAAAGATATTTTATCTAATCTATTATCTAGAAACATTGAAAATTATTCAATTAGAATCATATCACCCCGGAGCGGTTTTGAAGGGTACGTTCTCGGTGAATAAAATTTTATTCACCGAGAACGTACCCTTCAAAACCGGTCCGGGGTGATATGTTTAGATTTATATGAAAGCTAAAGTGATAAAAAATAATTTTAAAACATTCTTTTTCTATATTTTACATTTCTTGATATAGTTAACGATTTTATTGAAAATATTTACTAACTCATAGAGAATTTTATGTTTGAGATTTTGTTGAAAAAACTATTGGTCCATTATAAAACAATACTTTTTTTAGCTTTAACATATGTTTGTAATTATGAATAATGATATTGAAAAATAAGATATGAAATAAATCTTAAGACATTATTTAATGTTTGAGAATGAATATCAAAAACTAATTCAATCATTTGAATTTTTTTATGAAAAAAAATACCTATTTAATAATTGATTTTGAATAATTTAATTGTTTTTCATGATTTATCACTTTTCAAATGAAATTTGTTTTTCTATGAAACACAAAATGTGATGAATATCATAAAATAAAAGAATAAATATTATGACAGCTAAGAAAATTACCAACTCATATGTAACAAGACTTCGTATAAGATGAAACGGAAAAAAAAATAATCTCATCCTGTGGGATAGCTCAAAAGAAAAAATGTTTATATTTCATGAGGATTGTTGATATGTAATTTTTCTAGTTAATAAGAAAGATTTATGATGATGAGAAAATAGGTTTAAAATAAAAAATATCATTAGAAATAAAATATGTTTATATCAATCAATCTAACACGACAATATTCAAGAAAATAATGTATAGAATCATTTTCAAAATGTATAGTCTTTCATTTTAGATTCATAACAACACTATCTATAGACGTTGAAATATAAGAACAGGATTTTACAGAAAATAAATTTTAGTTTGAAAATTAATGATTCATAAGAAAATTAAATTATTCCAAATCAATTATTAAATAGATATTTTTTCATAAAAAAAATTCAATTAATTGATTTTGGTTTTTGATATTTGTTTTCAAACATTAAATAATGTCTTAAGATTTATTTCATATCTTATTTTTCAATATCATTATTCATAATTACAAACATATGTTAAAGCTAAAAAAAGTATTGTTTTATAATGGATCAATAGTTTTTTCAACAAAATCTCAAACATAAAGTTCTCTATGAGTTAGTAAATATGTTCAATAAAATGGTTAACTATATCATGAAATACAAAATATAAAAAAACAAAAAAAAAAGAAATTTTTTATTTTTCAAAATAATCTTTAACCATTTTGTTTTTGAGTATAAAAATAAACTTTTATCTTTATGACTTATCTTTATATGAAGATATTAATATATTTTGAGCGTTATCTCAAAGAAATCTTCTATTATTATATGGCAACACAATAGAAAAAACAATCTTATCAATAGAATTTCTCTGAATAAAAAGATAAGATGATGATGAAAGTTTCTTTTCTGACACTACTTATCTAAGAATAAATAAACATTAAAAACATCAGTTTAACATATGAGATTGAACAGAATTCATCTCATAGATTTTTTCAAAGATATGCATTACATTCTATTAAATAATCACAAAAATTTACTACAAAATCGATAAGAAAATGATTATAGAAAAATTGAACTTTAATAAAAAAACAAAAAAAAATAATTTTTTTTTTTATTCAAACAACTTGATAGTTTATTGAAAATAAAAAGTCAAGTCATTTTCATTGAGTTTGTACTTAATAATGTCTTACTATTACTCAATATTATAGAAGGTTTCTATTCTGAATTGTTCAATATTTTGTTTAATCAATCTTGAACTTTTATTTTTGTTTATTCCAACAGTTTCTATTAATATAAAATCAAAATATTTTTATATCAAATATCATTATGTAAATCATTGTATATTACTAAATTAGTTAATCTAATGATATAAATCGAATATTAATATTAATGTTCTATTTTCCATTTGAAAAAAAAAGGTAGTTCACTATTTTTCGAATAACTTTTGATAGAAACAAGTTAGAGAGCTGTGGTTTTCATCATTCGGAAGAGCAATGTCGGAAATATCGACTGGTATAAAACTCATTAAAACGAAACGTACTTTTTTACGGGTAGTTTTGGATCAACATTTTTTCCTTTGAATATTTTGATCATTTTTTGACAATAATCTCAACTCAAATTATGTCAAAATGTAGATCAAATCATCCTGTTTTCTCTAGATAATCATCACATATTGTTTTTTAAAATCCACTTAGAATAGGAGGTTGAGAAATACTGAAATATATGATAATTTTGTAGCAAAAAAAGGATGATTTGAGCTATATTTTGACATAATTTAAATTGAGATTATTATCAAAAAATGATCAAAATATTCAAAGGAAAAAATCTTGAGCTATAAAATAAAAAAAGCAAGTATCATCTTAATAAGTTCTATACCAGTCAACATTCTCGACATTGCTGTATCAAATGGTGAAAACCACAGCTCTCTATCTTGTTCTTATCAAAAGTTATTCGAAAAATAGTGAGCTACCTTTTCTTTTGAAATGGACAGTAGTTGCACTATTATTATATGTTATCGGTAACATTTCTTATAATACCCATGTTTTATCAAATTTTGACTAATCTTCTTATTGTAAGAACAAAAAAAAACATTTTGTTTTATTATTCGATTAAATTTAAAATGACGAAATTCTTTTTGTTTTCTTTTATTATCAATCATTATTGTTTTTTTGTTTTTAAACAAACATCTTATGAGTTATCATTCTCATTAATTTCTATTTTATTTCAATCTATATGTATCATCATCTACAAAAACATCATATATTGATATCAAATTAAAATTTTAAATAATCTTATTATTTCATTTTCTTGTATTTATCTAAATATAAATAAAAGCAAACTTATGTAATTTTGTTTCTCTTCTTTTATTAACTATAAAATTCTAAGAAAAATGACTTTCATCATCAACGGATTGGACTTTTCACAGATTTTTCTTCTAACTTATTTAATATCTGATTAATAGAAAAAACATTTGTTTCATTCGAAGTATTTTCCTTGAAAATTAAAAATCTTCTATTCATTTATCTATATTGATCAGTAATTTTTTTTATATGCCGATTCATTCAAACAAATCTCATTGAAGAACTACGAATTCTACAGTTTTAGGATATCATTAAATCTTATTTCTTCATTTTATAACAATAAACAAAAACAATCCTCTATTTTTTCGATAAACTTTGAACATGTAGAAAATGTTAAGAAAAAAGTCAATAGACAAATATTACCTTCAGGTGAATATTGTAGAATATCTTGAAAAAATAAACTAAATTTATTTGAATCATTTAATTTTTTTAATTCTTTTGTTATTGTAACTTCATTTACAAAATATTCACTATATAAACTACTTTTAGATATTTTAATTACACATTGATCTATATCATCATTTAAAGAATTATTATCATTTTTTACCAACAAATAAACCATTGAAGTTAAACCATTTCCCAATTTTTTTCTTATATTATATTTATCCTGAAATAAATTATCACTAGGATTTATGTTTAATGTTGTATATTCATAAAATTCGTCATTCATTGTTAAAAAGTTTATAAATATTTTCCAAGTAACTTCATTTAAATGTTTATTTTTCCATTCTTCATTTGTTATCATCATATCACTAGATAATGATTCTTTAGAATATTCATTAAACATATCTAAATCTTGACTTTTATAAAAATTATATGATTCTTTCCATTCACCTTTTTTTTTCAAAATAAAAAAAACTTATTTGTTTGCCGTTAGTTAAAAAATTATACATTTTTTTACGATTTTGTATAACTGATAGTAAATGTAAATAGTGTAATAATTGTCCAATTGATGCTTCTGACGAAACGTCAGATTTCTTAAATTCACCAACACAAACAATAAAATCTTGTAAACATTCATCTTCTCGATCAGTGCCGTTATTAACATTTTTAAGTAGAAAACAACAATCAGGACGAAATTTGTTAATAACACTATGTGATGCATGTGTATCTAAATATTTCAACAAGGTACGATCATTAAATGCATTTAATAAATTCAATACAAAATCTTGAAATGTCGATTTAATTTGCTGTTCGTTTGTATTTGACATTGATGAAACATTATTGATATATATTCGAATAAGTTCTATAGTATTCTCATTTAAATAATTATTATCATTTAATACATTATTAATATCAAATGACTGAAGATGATCGAGTACTAATAAATTATAAAAAGCACCATGGTCTGATAATATCGTTAAAATATTAATCATTGATGATGAAGATAGTTCCTGTGTTATTTTCATTCGTTTTGTTTTTATTAGTTCAATTTCTCTATCTAATTCGTTTTGTTTTCTTTTTTCTTTTTCGATAGCTAATCGACATTGTTCAATTTCTAATTTTAACCATAATATATCTTTATTTTCGTAAGTATCATCACTTGCAGCAATTCTTCAATATATATAATTATTATATTTCTTATCTATAAACGAAAGAAAAAAAATATGAGAACAAAGATAGTGGAACTAAAGTTGAGATTGAAAAAAGCTACACATACTCACTTTTTGAGTAAAACCTGATTGGTAAATATATTTCTAATTTAGATAATTGAAGAGAATATTTTCAATAAAATAATTTATATTTTATCTAGATGAGTTTTAATTTTGTGAAACTCACATATGTTTTCAAAGAAAATAAGAATGAGTGTAAGTTTTAAATCGAAGCTTTTGCGGCTTCTCCTCTCGTCCTCCCCATTCCAGATACTTAACAACGAGAGCTCTCCATTATAGGCAACCGCCAACGACAGATTTTAGTAACGGGGATTAAAGACGTTGAGCAAAATTAATAACAAGGCTTACAAGATTCCATAACATAAAATCTTTCGTGAAATTTTGATTGCTATACTACGTTATTCAATATTCTAAGTAAAGAAATATCTGATTTTGCGCAGACGAACGATTATAATCATCTAATCAAAAATCATCTGTTGATGTGATAGAATTGTTATATGATCAAAACGAAAACAGCAAATTAATTAATTTCTAAGTTTCGAAAATAATCAATATTAATCTGTCTAAGTTTATAGACATAGATAATATATTGTTGAGATCTGCAGTAGATATAAAGAATATGCACAACAAGCGTATTTGTTCATTAAGTTAACAGTTTGATTAATAATAATAATAAATTATGAAAGTGAAAAATAAAATAGAATAGATATTAAACAAATAGTGACAAGACAAATAATAGAACAAAGAGTGCCTCTCAATAACAAAAGAAAACAAATTTTCTGTTTGAAATTTAGAAATAAAGTAGACAGTATTTTCTGGTAATCGATTATTACTGGAAAAGAACTATAGTCTTTTAAAGATTTCAATCTTTGCGAATGTTATATTAGTTTAATAAGACTAAAAGATATGTGAGTTTCATATTTCAGCTCCAATGGGACTGCACTAACAAGCTTTTCTTTCAAATTAAACTGAACATATTTGTGTAGAGAATTATAAAATATTTTTTCGCTATGATCTTAAGTTAAATTTGAAAGAAAAATTAAAATGAATGAGAAAAGTTATAAAATTATTTAATGAAAAATATTTCCGCGATATACAATTTTTATATTAAAATGTAATTATTTCAAGAATAAGTAGCCCACCAATCAGTTCAAATATCGAAGTTGTTTAAAAAATTAGCGATGGAAATATGTTCTTAATATTAATATAATCTAAAAAACAAAATTCATATAGTGAGATAATGCGAATAAAAAAATATATGTATAAAGTAAATAAAATGTATTTTTATAATTAGAAAATGCAGAATTTTTCAAAAGTAATTCAACACAAAAAAAAAGAAAAGCATATCTATAACTTTTAGAAACATTTTCTAAATTAGTTAAAATAATTTCTTTAAATAAATTAAGTTTTAATTCTATGATTAAATTTTTTGAATTTTAAAATGTTGATTGAATTGATTGTAGTAAATAATAAGATTAAGTTTTCTTTAAAGAAAAAAAAATCCTTCTCTTCAAAATACATTATGATTGAAAGTCTAACTACCATCATATTAATCTTACTTACCTTATAGATAAAACAATACTTATACGAAGTTCCTATTTATAGAAATATTATACAATAGCACGATTAAAAATGATTGTCTACTATTGATTTAATTCTCAATTCGAATTATGTTTTAAAACACTGTAGCAATCGTAGATACGAATACAACTAAAATTGCCATATACAATAAAATAAATGTGGAAACCTCGGATTTAAATCCGAAAGTTATGTGTACTTCAAAAAGTGAATTAGGCAGATGAGTCATCATAGAACGTGTGGACATCAAAATTATCCTGGCAAACCTTTTCTATAAACACTTGAATTCTATTGGCTACTGCTCAACCAATAGGATTTAGGACCGAATACAGCTCAGATTTGAACTCTTCGTCTTGACTTACCCTAAGAAAATCGTTTTTCCTATAACTCGATTTGTATTGGTCCCTGCTCAACCAATGGTATTTCGAGGCAAGTGGGGCGCAGATTCGAGTTCTCCGCCCCAGAAAACCTCGAAGTACCATCTCTGTGATCGAAAGATAGAGCTCTAATTGTAGATCAATCAGAGCGTGGACAAACAGAGAACCAATTTCCGTTTAATTATCTTTGCATTGGGTGAGTTAGCCTTCTTTTTTTTAATGTTTTATATACTATTTTGCAGCTCGTAAAATTCTCTATCGAATAGTATATAATAGTTGAGGTTTTATTTGACTATAATAGGAAAAGTTGTTCACGAAAGCGCGAAGGGGTCGATTTTCGCATAGGAAGGCATAGGGAAAAATGACTATTTTTGCAATAACTCAGGACCGGCTAGACAAATCATTCTCATCTTCGAACCCGACCGAGATATTCTTGAGATTAATCTGTGTAGAAAATTCTATCGTGATCTGACTCTCCTTTCAAAAGTTATCGTGTAAACGGCCGGCCAGCCGGCCGTTCACACTGACCGATTCTAGAATGTACTCACATTTTGAGTACACAAAAAGAACTTTAAAATCATTAAAAATAAATAAATAAATAAATTAGAGAATAACTCTTTTTAATCTCTTATTGATAATTTAATATTTTTATTATTATAAATAATATGTAATAGTTGTGACAATATTTCACATCGAATTACATATACTTTTCATAAACAATGTCGATTGATATATTAAATTCATTTGTAAACGAAAATTTCAATTAAACATATAAAGAAATAAATTTAAAAAAAGCGATTTAGAATGAAATAGTAAAGACAAACTTACATATTTTACTGGTTAGAGATATATTAACACAAAATTAGAAATAATTGATGATATACAAAAACAACCTAAAAATAGTAACATTCTTCCCATATAAAATATGAGTTATTATTGAATGAATCAAGTGAAGCTATAAAAACTATGATATGACATGAATATGTACATCAAGAAAATCAAGCAATTTTAGAAAAAGACTCATGAACAAAAGTAATTATGTCAAGTCATTATGTTTACTCCATTGATTGAAAATATTATTTTCAAATCTTTATCGTGAAAGACAATTCAAGTAAAAAAAAAACAAATATTCGTCGTTTTCTAACTTGTTTATGAACTAGATGTTAGATAGGTGTAACAAATTATGTGAAATATACGGCATTTCTTCTGTGCGCATATGTACATGTCAGCGTCCAAACTGAGATTACGTCCAATCTCAGATTGGCCTAGGCGAATGTCGGATCCGACATTGGACGCGTCCAATCTCGGATTGACGCAATTCTGTTCACTAAAATATCAATTAC